AACAGACATGTGGTTACACTTTACAGTTCATTTTTGACAAAGCTCTTAATTTAAATGAGCGGAAATGATTGTGCCACAACTAAGCAAACTCTGAAATATTATACAACATAGAGAATGTTAATCGAAATTAAATAAAACGTATATAATCATTACAAAAAATATATATCCATTAAATCCGCACAAAGCAATATTAACATTGCATTCACATAGGTAAAATGATCACATTTGGAAAATACACACCCTTAATTTCACATTTAAAACAAGCATATAATATAAAACTGCACAATAACACACGCCACATCACGACGACAGATGCATGGATGGAACACCGGGGCATGTGACATCAGAGCCCTGATACGAAATGAAAGTTTCACTCCCCTTCTGTGCAGAATGGAATGTTCCAAATGCAACATCTTGCAATTGTGCAGGAAGAGTGCACTCGTTTTTTTTATATGGGCGGGGGTTTATTAACTTCACGAGGTTATAGGTCGAAATCACAAGCACCAGGCGTACACGCAAATGAGACAGCCATTAACACCGATCACACAAGTCAATGAATGCAAACCAAATTTTAAAAAAATACTGTAAACAAAAACACGTTGTGATGTCCTGTGAAACATTCGTATAAGAGAAATGAAAAAAAAACAAATCGTACATTTTAAAACAGTAGCACGTAAAAAAGTCCATTAACACCAACAACAAATGACCCCTTTGTGCTCAAATGAATAAATGCAACCGATTGAATATATAAACATAATGGGTTCTTGAGCGTGAGCGTAGCAAGGCATGGATTGGGGTGGTATTATGTGCGGTTCAATGTAAATGACAATATGCGTGTGCTTGCACGATGATGATGATTCAATGGTGTAGAGATACGAGTGAAATCCACGCTTTGCTCTTGGCTTCTGCCGCTGGGCCAGCGAGTGACCTTCATGCGTGCAGCCCGCGCTCGGCAAACACCTGCTAATGTCACCTTTGCGTAATGTCACGCATTCCTGAGATCCCAAGAGGCATTAACAGTGCCGGAGCTGATTTTACACGAGTCGATAGAACACGGAGCCCGGTTACACACACCGCTCTGATGCGAATAGGCTTAGCAGGTCGGCTCTGCAACACACATGCATTGCCTGTTCTGAGTAAAACACAACGCCAGTTTTGTCTGTGTGTTGAACTTTTTTCGCACCGTACGTAGCCAACTGTGCTCATCGGAGGTTTATGTATCATGCGAGGCGACTCACGCGCCGTGCACTTTCCTTCACGTTGATTAGCACGGATGGCTACGTGCGTTGCAAAAGAAGTTCGACAAGCGTGCACACGTGTTTTGCAACCACCGCACAAGAGTTGCCACTTTAAAATTAAAGTCTCCCTTTCCTGTTCGATTGAGTATGGAGAGTATGGGGACGATCCCCGTCTTCCTTGGTTGTTCGAAGTCACTGGCATCACTTGCACATTCCGATCACAAATGCCGGTCTACCCATACGACGACCACTGCTGACTTCTCACAAAGTGGTGATTATCCCTTCAGTATAATGGGCTGTGTCGATTCTTTCCCGAGATTAGACTCAGTCATTCCATCATCGTGAGTTGTTCGCTTTGTCACTGCAATTTGGACGGAGAGAATGACAACTTTCTGACTTGTGTAACAATGCATTGGATTAATCGATTCCGGTCGATTTTTTGTTATAAATATTTGAGATAATTAATCGTTTTAGATCATGGCTTTGTGCGATCCCTACAGCCACCGGAGGCTGCTACCATTCACCACCGTCAAACAAACAATTCTTGAGTAGAATCGTGACCTTTCTTCGATGGCAAATGGTGGAGGGGTAAATCATCATATCCCTAAGAGGCAGGTGCCAACTACACATTTGTCAAAAAATGTGTTAGTATATATCAGTGTCAAAAAGATGGATGTAATACAGGCATAACTGTACGCTACACTCGTGCAACATCTCCGGAACCGCGAGGTTCCAATGCTGTTTAATATGCAGTGTTTGGATGTCGTCCAGCGGTTGACACTTTGGTTTCAGCCATTCATCCACCACCGGAATGTGAAAAAGTTCAAATCTCTGTCGGGGGTCGACTCAGCCCCTCACCCATCCAATGTTGAAGAAACATACATCACTCTCTGGGAAGTGAACAGCACATGTCCTGTGGAGAGACTCTAACCAGCCAAGAGAATGTGGAATTTCTACCACTGGTTCAGGATTACCACGGCGATAATCCCTGCTCCCATTGCTTGAGCCGGTCGACGCTGTGATCGGTTTAAATTGTACAACATCTGTGGCTATAAATATAAATCCTTCACGCAGACAGCATTGTGTTCGTACGTGTGCCTTACACAACATCATCCACAAGCAACGATTCTCTTATCAATTGCTGGATGAACCCTTCTGCATGTGTGTGTGCTTTTCTGCTGATACTCTGCACAGCTGAATCCCCAGTTGCCTTCTTTGCAGGAACAAATGCGATTAGCGAACACCTATTAAGGCTGGTGTGGCGTGGCAAGCACAGCATCTGGCCCTCTTGTCTCCCCATTGTGTGATGTTTGTACACTCCGTAGAATAAAAACGACTGCATAGTTCATTTTTGAACAGTGTTTGACAGTGTGTAAACAGTCATTGGAGGCTTTGTCAACCTAGGGCAGACTTAGGACAAGTTTACACACCACTTCCCATTGATATTCATGACCAGAAATGAAATCCAGGTCCTTGTGATGATGGGTAGTGCACTCTGCCAAATCACCAACATACAATGACAAACACACACACAGCTCTTGCCCTATGATAATCCACCACACCACAAACTCCAAGACAGATGTGTGCAAACCCCCCCCCCCTCCAACCAATGAACCCTGTAACTTATAAACACAAGCTGCCCCAGGTAGGGTTACGATTTTTGAACATTCCAGCAGGAGTTCTGATAAGATCCAAAAATGCCATAGAAATTACCCTTCCTGGTAGGTCCAAGCTCCAAAGCTACAAATTCATGTTGAGCTGAACGTACCACGGCCTATGCAGGCTGCTAGATGAAAACATTTCAAACGTAACACACAATGTGCTTGCAATTATGTGACCGTGTTAGATCGGAGCATTGCATTTTTGACAGGTATGAATTTGCACTCTGAGATATGTCACACATAAGGCATTCGCTTAACAATCCGAGACTCTTTCACGTGGGAGCCCAATACCCCTGGATACTTAAACATTTAAAATGTGCCTACAATGTTGCTGCTGTGATGCTTATGGTCATGAGCAAGCATTTTTATTTGGTGGGTGTTGCGGATGGAACGCTGGACACGCTTTGTTAGAAGTTAACAAATGGTCATCCTATGGACCTGCCATGAGAATTAGGAATTTCCACCACTGGCTTCGGGCTGCCACTGGAGATAGGTGGAGCGTCATTGGTCAATTTTGAGTCGGACACTATACAGAATACTCTGAACAAATCCCCATCGTTACAACACAATTGGATGTACTGTATTGCGAAATAGCACACAGTGTCCACGGTGCAATGTGGACGCTGTGGTTCGGCACAATTGGCTTTCATCGCAAAACGCGTTTTTGATGCTGATGAAGTTGGAATTCAAGCTCAGAACACGAGTGTAAATGAAGAGAAGGGCAGCTGATTTGGGTGTGACAAGTGGTGAAGTCGGAGAGATGTACATTGGGCAAGGCCCTCCTTTAAACCACGTGAACGGAACCCAGTTATAGGGTTGTGATGGGTCAGTTTACATCATCAGCCGTGTTTTTTTTTTCTCTTTGGAGAAATGAAAATGGACTTTGCGGATAAGGGCATGCTTCAGTCATATGCCGGTGCACCAGATACAGGCTGTATGTATAGCAAACGAGATGTGCTGGGAAATATATAACTGGAAATTCTACGGCACCTCTGAGCACATTGGACCGCCATTAAAACAAACCACCCCTTGCTCAAGCATGCTGGCGTGTAATTGACTGCATGCCTTCCTGCTAAATGCCCATTTTCAGCTGCATAGTGGAACAGAGCATAGCAAACCACAAAATATTAGTCAAGCGCATGAGAGCTCGTGATTTGCACTTTCAAATAAACAATTGCTGCTGTAAAAATAGTAGAAATTTAACAGCATTTTTCTTAATTGACAATTTCCAATTCTATGGCTAATTTGAATAAAATGGCCTCTTTATGTGAACGACATTATTAGGATAAATGTGTCCCCAACCACATGCACCATTTCCTGTTTTATACGTCTGTATTTATCAGGCAAGGCTATGAATAAATCTACCAACAGTCAATATCTGGAGGCTCTCAATGCACTGTTTACATCAGGCCGGGCAGTGCTGTGCTTTGGGCACCAGACTAATTTTTTGTGAGTTCAAATCCCAGTCGAAGGTGAGCTTAGCCTGCCATCTCTTCACGATCGGATGAATGAGGAAGTCCACATTAGTCGTCCCATGGAGCAAGCGAACGGGACCTGCTGTGAGAATGTGGAATTTCCACCAATGGCTCAGGGCCACCAAAGCAGATAATCCCTGCCACGTTGCTCGTTTGAGCAGCGGGACGCTTTGTGACTTTGTGAAGGGATTGCTGAGCCAGTGTTCAGAGATATCCGTATCTTCGGGGACTTTGCTTTTAACAACATCGAGTAACATGCATTTCAATAAAGCACACAGAGAATCACAATGATGTGGAACAGTATTTTCAACCCAGTGTGCTCCGCTTGTGTAAAGCTCTACGAATAGCTCACTTGGCTTCCTGGCCAAGAGTAAATGACTTACAGCCTCTTATATTAATTTGTTTTAATATCGGTGGTTGAGAAATGCTGCACGTAAAAAAAAAACCGTGTACATCAATGCGTTCGACATTAAAGCGAGGATGTGATGATCCCAATGGGAAGACAACACAAATCATAATGTGCAGTTGGAGGATGGAGCCGAGGCCGAAGTGACGAAATCACCTTGGCGATGTGTGGCGTGGCTTGCAGCTTGTTTCGAGGGTGCATGGTCCTTTGACTGAGAGGAGACGGCGAGAGGAGGAGGAGGAGAAGTAACGATGCATGGCTTGAGGTGTAAGTAAAGTTAAAGGCCAGACGTTTCAGAATCTCCAATTCCCTTGCGGATGCAGTGGCTTCATCCTCCGTGTTGATGAGTGGCTTCACCTAAAACACACAAGGACAAAGATCTCCCGTATAGCCTTATCAGACTGTAGAAGCAAGTGCTGTTAGCGAGTACCTATGAAGGCCGGCACGGCACACAAGGGGGTGGGTGGCCAGCAACACGCCCGGCTGCCTTTATCTCCTCTAGTGGCGATCTTTACACACCGCACCAGGTACTCATTTCAAGGCCGACAAAGAGCGCGAGGGTGTGGCGTGGAAAGAACTGTGCCCGTCCTGCCTAGGGGTGAGATGTACGCCACCGATGCCAGCCATGGCCACACACACACACACGCGCAAAGACAATGTTCCCCTAACACAGCCTAAAACGGGCTATCGGCGAGCTGTTTAACGAGCACACATAAAGGCGTGGCGCACGAAGGAGCTCGCCTGTACTCATACGCCGTGCAGGATTGAGCCTGATTAGTACTGTACTTGGATGGGAGACCACCTGGCGATACCAGGTGTTGTAGGCCAAACGCGCACATGCGCGCGCGCACACAATACGGCCAAGAGTGTTGTGATGGTTCACCTGTTGCTTAAGCAGTCCAGTGTGTTTGATGTGTCGGGCGTGCGTGGCCCGCGAGATCGATGAGCTCATGTTTCGGCGTGTGCGCGCAAGCTCGCGAGGGGCGATGCTTGCGCCCGATTTCCCAGACACGGCCGCCTCGTAATTGCCGAGCTGCCAAATAATGTAATTTGGAGCTGGTGCGCGGAAAACTTTAAAAGTCAGGCTGACATCTGAAGCGGGGGTGTGCCGGGCTGCTCGTGTAAGGAACTGGGGCCACACCGCGGGCCGGTGGCCCCCAAAGGAGGCAACCCGTTGCCTTGTCCGTCGCTCGCCCTGCACGTCTGACGCCGCCGCCGCCGTGCATTCAAGCGGCAAGCGTCGCGGGCCCGCCACCCCACCCAGAACAACGTTCATCCATTGATTAGTTTGTTTGGAAAGTGCCCTCCGCAGCGCACCCGTCTCAAAGTGCGCAGGGTACAAAGGACAGCGCCTTCTCGTGCAAACCCCACATCCCCGCACATTCCACCGACATCAACGATTCACCCAAGGATATCCAATTGGAAGGCTGCAAACGAAGCAAAAAGGTCAAGGTGCCGGAGTCGTCGTCACAACCAATGTCACTGACACAACCACACCTTGCCATCGCGTCTTCCTTCTGCTACTTCCAGTCAACATGTGACCTTCAAGTCCCTGACTATATATGGCTTTATATGTTTTAAGCATACACGTATACTTATGGAGATAGGCCAAGATTTTTGTGCAGTCCTTGGTACCGTGGAGCCAGGATGTCTTTTGTCTTTGTTCTTCTTAAGTCACCTGAAAAATCACTCTTTGTATGGCCATGAATGACCTTAACTTTATCCTTTTCAGACGGACAGACTTGTGACCCACACGTCCGCAATATTACACACTCCAGACCGATGGCTCACTAATGTAGTTATAACAGACACAGAAACACATGTTACTAAAGATGGAATTTCTGTCACGGATATGTTTAGTGTTCCAAAGGCCTTTCCAATGGACGCAAGATTACAGAGAATTCTTGAGAGATTCATCATGCACTCAGCGCTACAGCAGATTTAACCAATCTGATTACACCTGTGGCACTGCGAGTGAGGATGCCGCCATTGGTGTAATAGGTAACACACTGAACTTACGATCTAAAGGTCACCAGTTGGATTCCATCTCCCGGCGTGACAGTTGAAACAATGGGGAAAGTTTTTTTTTTTTAATCCCGCCCCGTGCGTCTGTCCACCCAGTAGTATGAGATGGGTAGGTCACACGTGGTGAGGTAATGTGTGGGTAACTCCCACCCCTTGCAAGATGTCTGGCCAGTGTGGAAGAGTAGGCCAAAACACCCTCTGATAGTGCTTCTCTAGTTGAGGCCACAGAGCTGCACTTCTACCTTATGTACTGTGTGCATTAAACTAAACGGTGTTTCATTTTACCAGGTAAGGCCTACCAAGCTACAGAGTTCTTTGGCAGAAGCGACCCTGGTCACAAACCAAAGCTCAACGTAGTAGCTTATCATGTGTAAACTTATATCAGACAAATGTATGTTTCTAAATGTGGAGGGGAAAAACCGGAGGACCCAGAGAAGAATCCACACGACCACAGGCAGTGCCGGATTATCGTAGTAGCAAAAGTAGCTACATATGCTGCGGGCCCCGCGCTAAATGCTTTTAAGCTATCAATTCCGGTTCAGTGATTCTGCACTTGCTCTATTACTATAGTACTATACTGCCTTCAACTTTTATGAACGACTGGGTGTTTAAGGTTAGCGATTTTGTTCGTATTAATCTGGCTGTATATAGCAAATGAAAAAATACAATTACTTTATTATGAAATTTTAAATTTGTGTTTTAATATTTGTGTGTTTTTTATATTTAGGGAACCTTTTATAACATATACTACAGGCCCCGCACTAGCTTAATCCTGCACTGACCACAGAGAGAACATGCAAACAACAAATACACAAGTGTTAGGGTCGGGATTGCACCCACGACCTCCTGTATACCAGGCGAGGTAGTTAATATCTCGCCATCACGGGATGAGTCCACTTGCGGAAATGTGGCCACAAATCAGAAGAGTGTGAGTTAAAATACTGATGGTGTTTGACAGCCCATCATCCATTTATAGTCGACAAAGTGAGTACCACTTTGTGCGACGTCAACAGCTATAAGTAATCCTGCATAAACAATAGCCCACGTGACGATGTGATATTTACACTGTTAGTTAATGAGTGCTGTCCCACCATTCTTTGAGCTTACGAAACTTTAACTTGACAATTATGAATCCAACATTGTTAAGATGATTCAACATGAAACCGGACAATTGTCTTGTAACATTCAGAATTATGCCTTGCACGTGTGCACTTCAATTGTTCGACTTAGCCTGAAAACGAAAATGTGCTGTTCATAGTACTGTGCCAGAGGACATAAACCTGGACGCCTGTGCTGTTATTTATTAAACGAAAATAACAAAACTCTCCTGCAAATTGGACAACGGTGTATGGCTTGTCGGGTAAACATGAATACAGAATTCGCTGCGTTCTTGTACACACTTGGATAAAACGCAGCGCCGTCCAACAAGCATCACAACACAAAATGCTTCTTGAATATTACTACACTGCGTAATAATTGAGACCTATTTATAAAATATGCAACATGAAATCTATTACGCCTAAAAAGAGGCAATAAGCAAAAAATCAATCGACTAAGGCGTGCTTAAAACCAACGAGTCGCCGTAATTGAAAAAGAGTAACCCAATTCAGCTCCACGATTGAGTGATAACAAGCCGTAATTAGGTGTCTGGAGTCTAGAATGCACATCAAACCCCCGTCGTGTATGATACGTGTTGTGAAAAAAAACCGAATCCTTGTTAATGAAAGACACTGATGCATTTGAAGTGATCTTAAATCGCTGGCATATTGGTTTGGTTGTGGAGAAAGAAAGAAATAAAACAACCGACACATCCTCCGGCATGCGTACCATTTAATAATCGAATGCTCAAAGCAAGGTCGCTGCAACACGCACACGAACAGGCTCAACAGAGCGAGAGGTCCCCTTTTTGTCTCTTCTTAAGTTCATACTGATTTTGCTAACCACGTAAATGTATATAGGATCACTTAGACGCATGCAAAACGTTCACACTAGTCGACCATTATACTTTGATCTAACCGACACAGGATGAAGTGCACAATATCCTCTTTATCACACCTCCTCATTCCCTCGCTCACCCCCCACACTTGCGAAGGAAATGCATCCGCAGGGCCCGCCGATGCAGCAACTAAAACTGGATTAAGCTGCGTACTGTAAACAAAAACTTAGTTGCTGACGAAGCTTTGCTGTTAAGGCGTGTCGCCGCCCCCCACCCCCTCCCACTTTGATGTGGCCGGTAATAGGATTTGGGAGCGTCCGGGCATCGGCTCACCAGCAAAAAAAAATGTTTTCTGGACGAAACAATGCCTTGCAAAGTGGCCCAGGTTTCCCCTACCACCACCACCCCCACCCAGCCTCCCCGTGCACCCCTACCTCCTCCTCCTCCTCCTCCCACCGTTCCCAACGCCCACGGCACCCTCCGCCGAGAGCGCGTGTCGGACAAACCGCTCCAACATCAAACCCGCGTTCACGTCGTCACAACGTGCACGAGCGTGTCGCGACGTGCATGCGCACGCGCGCGCGCGCGGGGGGGGTTGGAACCCGACGGCTTTGGCTCGCTACTAACCACGCCGTCAAGTTTACAATTACACCGCACAAAGCCATTAATCATCTTTCTTTCCTTATTACATTTTCCTTTAGTTTAAAAAATGAACCCCCCCCCCCCCCCGGTTTTTATTACGAATGTGTGTTTATTTATTTTGATGTACTCCGAAGGCACTTTATGCTGCTGGATCGATGGATGCTCAGCCCTGGGAGATGAAGACGTGTTTTAGTCATTGCGCAGGTGGAAAGTTTGGTAAAGGCCAGAGGTTACATTTATTGAGCATTAACGTGTTTTTTTGTGGGCCTGGACATCAACCCAACATTGGTAACCATGCGCCTTGGAACATAGAACGCGTGGGGGGGAGCTACTCCACAATTTTTTTGATAGAGAACAAGGTATATGCTGTGCCCTCTCAATTAAAAGCCTTCACACATTCCCTTGGCTACTCGGCATGAGTCCGGATCTGTATACGACCCCACCACTTCAACATCATTCCCATGCACCGGAATGGCACGGGGCTATTCGCATCCTCAAAACAGTAGGTCCTAAGTTTAAGATACCAATTAAATATTCAATTCGTTCCATCCCATTCGTGATTTTGCTTCGGTGACCCATTGCCAATCAATGCCCTCGCTCGGCAGAAGTTTTAGTTCAAGATCGGGAAAAGCGGTTGTAGCCGAAACTGTGACGATGACCGATATATTAATTCCACCAGGTGGAAACCCATTGAGACGTGTTGTGATGGCTCACCTGGATGAGAAACTGACTGCAGTGCATGGTGAGCATACAA